GAATGTTACGAATAGTATACTGAAACGTTCAAAGTGTTTTCCTGACGTTCCCAGAACGTTCTCCCACTACTACAGCTAAGAATAATAATGTAAAAACAAGTCATGGTAGAGCAGCAGGTAACACTGTGGCTTGACATCTCTACGGTCATGGGTTTGGGGCTGGACAGTGCATTTACAGTATACACATATAGCACTTAAGATAATTAATTATAAAAGAATATTTTTCAACATTGATTACATTAAAAGGATGATCGGATAATTATGTTAACATGCTGACATTAACAGAACCTTTGTTAAAACAAGGAAAAAATGTTGCATTAACGTTACAATAAAAATATTCTCTGCCAACTTTGAGAGAACCTTCACATACTGTAAGCATTGGCTGACGTCCTGGGAACGTTCCGTTAGCTCAGATCACCTTTATTATTACATTTACTTTTATTTTCTGAAGGAAAAAAAAAAACTTTGCCAATCAGCAGCAAAACAAGGGGACATAATTAGCTAAACCCCCAAATAAACACAACATTCTGAACACCAACCTCATCTCTGCTCTCGTTAGCTGCAAAAAATAGGATTATAAGTCTAAAGCTAAGCAGAGATCTAGAATGTTCTGAGACAAATCTACAATGCACTGTTAGCCTTTTGAAGAAAACATTGCGTTCTTCCTCTGTATTTACCAAAGGATGTTTCTACCCCGTCCCCTTTATCAAAGGTATCATGTTGTCACCATCTCACCATCATAATTAACAAGTGACCCCATGCTATGCAAACCCGTTTCACTAAAAAGTGTCCGCTCAGTGATAATACACTCTGTACAGTACAGTAACTGTACTGGCCCCTGAGCTTTAAACCAGCAGACTTCTCAGTACTTATGCATGTACAATAATCACCGGTTACACACAAGGATTCTTCTTCTGTTATTATTAACATGTACGTGGTAGACGGTGTCAGCCAAGGCAGCTTTTTTATTACTTAAATTAATTTTTTTTTATTTATAGGCAACAATATATAGCACCTTGCTCAGAGTTACAGCTGCCTTTATCAGAGAGTTCAGTGCCTGAACCACAAATCCTGTACCTATTTGTGCAAGGACTGTTTGCCTGACAATTCAAGGTCATTTATTCCTGGACAGATTCATGAATTCCCTGGTACTTATCGGACCTACCGGAGAGTTAGTCTCTCACGGGGGCCCCCCGCAAAGCACCTGGCAGCTGGAATAGAGAAGCTGCAGAACACATCTGGATTTCCGAGATGTCTGTGTATGGGCTTTCCAGGAAAGTCTTTCAGTGTTGAAAAATAAACATAACAACCACACATCTAAACTGTTCCCAATTATACTTCACACACAAGCTGTTTTTGATAAATCAGCACATACTCCTTAGTTAAATGGCACGAGAAAAGTCAGGCTTCACTTTCACAGGTTTACGTTATGGTCTATTATCCAACCATTATGCTGCACAAGCATGGTTCTTTGAAGCTGCTATTTTCAATTACTATGAAAGATGTTCCTCGTTAGCTAACAGAGGAGAGAAGCCTTTTAGAATTACACAAAGATGCAGACCGATTCCTAGGGCCTTTTCATCCAGATAGGCCCCTGCCCGCCCCCACTCACTCACAGCGTCCTAAGGCGGCTATGATGACAATTAATTTGTTTATGTTCGTGGTTTATTTATTCAGATAAACTACGGGCCTGAATACTTACTTATTAATGTGAATTATTTCCCATCTTCTACACAGTTTATGAAAAAAATGCCTATAAGTGAAATAGTTCTGTAAGAGGAAAAAATAAGCAAATTCCTTAAACGTGTTTTCCATCTGTAATACCTTGACCACATGTCTAATGGTGGGTCCCCATAGACCTTCAGTGCCGCCACTGAACAAGCCTGCAGAAAATGATTTAGTGAGGAAACAGACGAGGCAAATAAATTTTAAAAACAATAAACATGGAAAGATATTGTACTTTGACGTCTCCACTGTCTAACCTTTGCCCTGAAAATCTATGAACAACCACACAAGTGTTCTGCCGCATATTTGCCATTTATTTCGAAAATGAATGGCGGAAATGCGGGAACCACTATTGAAAACCCTGACTCTTTGTGGCATTTCTACTGGATAAAAGGCAAAATAGGTTTAAAGTATAATACACTGAACAATGCGCTTTTTCATTCGGTTTGTATAGCAATAACATATCACAGCTATTACTTTAGTAAAAGGAAATACAGATATATTTTCTGAAACGTGAATACATTCCCCCATTTTTTTATATATAGTTCGACTGTCAACAGTGTGAAAAGTGCTTGAATTGGCAGTATACTCGACTCCACTTCACTGGTACTTGAGGAGGGCATTAACACAATGTTAATACATACTGTACTGCTCTGCACTTGCAGCTTGTGTGTGTTATATATTATAAACAGCAAGAAGAGAAAATAGCAATGTTTCTGTTATGAAGAGTTATCCTCAACATTCCGCATGCTGGCATAGTATTTGTACTCGGATTAAATATCATCCGACTTCAGAATAGTCTGTGCATAAGATATGGCCGATATATCAGCATGCCATTCAGAATCTGCTGTGTGATACAGAGGAAGGTAAACATAGACAAGACTGTGTTATATTACATAAAGTGGCAAAGCTATTTCCCCCTTTTTTATAATTTTACACAAAGCTTAAACACGTTTAATGCAATCATGGAGTTGTGTCAGACCTGTATTTTTACATAAATATATTTATGTCATAATTCATTATAGATTATATATCCGGACTGTCAGTTACATGATCTTCAAAAGCATATTTAATTAAAAGCAACACAACTAGCTTTCAGTTTATGAATTTGTTCTGCTTTATATTTTACTGAAGCAGTTAATGGTGAGGATTTAAAAAAATGGACAGTTTAAAAAAAAAAAATCGTGAAGGAAACAAGTTATGTTTTCGCAAATTTACTGCTGCTAAGCTCTTTGCGCTGATTTTATAAGGAAACCGAAATTTGAGAATGCTAATATGCAAATGAAGCGCCATCATGTGACGGATGACTGGGGTCTGCCTCGCCCTTCCCCGTGACACGAACACACCGTTTACCCCGCTTCCGAATTCGCACACAGCTAACGGACAAGGCTGAAAATCAATGTAAGCCAAAAGACCTTCGGGGTCATTCAAGACTTGTTTGTCTCATGCATCTGGGATCAATGCAGCAGACAGCCACACACAGACGCGACCAGACCCGGGACAAGTCGATGATTCATCCAGCGATGGCCAATAATCAAGGCATCTTTGTCCGGCCTCCGAGGCCAACAGCAACATGTTCAGCGTACAAGCTAATTACAGAATCTGCTACTTTGTGACTTCCGATTCAGCCAGAGGGGAACACATTTGTTACCGTTGCGCTTGCATTTAGTACCTATCGATACATATTACCAGTTTGCTTCCCTTTCCTTCTGCCATTACAATCAGGGACCGCACAAAGACATGTAACTGCACTCAGATTCAAGCCTTATTAACTTCCTCAAGAACTAAGACTGAATCCACTGACTCATTTTAAAATGATCTAATACGTTTAACTAAACAAACAAAACTGCCTCTATTCCCCATTCATTCTCTCAGCAATGACGACGAAGAATAATAGGTCACAATTTAAAAACAAATTCATGGCCAGCTGTTCTGATTTAAATACATCAGGATAGCATTAGCTTATCTCCTTGCCCGTTCTCCAGAAAAAAAAAAGGTTCCTAGGTTTATACAATGATCTAACGATACTTCAATGACAGCCATGCTGTCCCTATACTGTAGCTCCACAAAGAGAAAGAGGGATGATCTCCTGATACAGTGTAACCCCGGAGCACCTGAAAAAAATTCCCATAAACAAAAGAAACATTGTCTGATGGTATGTAAGTTTTGGAATGCAGGATTGGGTCTTATTTCCGCTATCACTGTCCTCCCCTGGACAAAGACAGCGCAAAGAAGGCTGTCCGATACAATGTAACTTAACAACTCCTGTGTGGTTTGGGGATCAAATCCAAACCGTCAAAGAATGCAGCACCTGTAGTGTAGAGGGTCTCGTCCTTTAAACACAAGGCGTGCTGTTTTGTACCCACGAATCCCGTCTCATGAGTTGCAAGCCAATACCTTTCTAGGTAAAGTCAATCCTAATCAAGCTGTTGTATTGATTACACATAACAAACAAGGAAACCATCTTGCTGAAGATGAAGCATGTATAAAGCTCTCCCCGCCTTATTCACCATTCAGGAAACATCCATGAAAGCATCCATGGGTTTCAAACGCTGGAGAAACATGGCTTCTGCTTTGAAAACCACAGCTTTTAAAGTGTTCAAGGCAGCTTGTCTGAACGCTCTTCCTCCTAACTGCTGACAGTCTTGTTCCATTTGTTACACGTCGTCGCTGCTTCTCTTCATAGCGAGAATTCTCTGCATCCTGCTCATCTGACACCTTCAGCCAAATTTTGAACAAAGGAGCACAGTTTGATTTTATAGCTGCATATCCTAGATACAGAGGTCTTGTCATCCTGCGAATATCAATACACGTTTTACCAAACTGCCACTGATCTCCCATTCACACACTAGAGAGCAAATATAAGCTCATGACTATCAGATTACTACGTCAAAAGAAACATCCCAACAAATGCAGCTCTTTCACTGCCCAGTCCTGTCGATGGATTTTTCTTTTTGACCCTGTGCGTGTGACATTATACCGATATACACAGACACACAAACACAATACATACATATTATTAACAACATAAATAAGGCTATGAACTCAGAGGGTGGGATTACAATATTTTCGTAGTTTCTCCTTCATTTAACTCAACAGAAAGCTGAGTAAATCAGTTGGTGATTGACAGCACATGATAATCCAATTCATCATGGATTCCAAAGCTGTTCTTCCCTCATGTCACCCCTGTATACCTCAACCTCAAGCAAAAAACAAGCAAAAGATCATAAAAGCTTTGAACCAGCTGTATAAATAATAGAAACCATGAGCCTTACTTTGAGTATTCTTCATTGTCCTTGTCACATCTTGCATCCTTGTGTTTTTCCCAGTCTTTCCCATGCTTACAGGTGGTCAGTAAAATTATATCTTCCCCATTGTGAATGTGATATAAAGCATTTCTTGTTTCTGAACCGATACCAGTCAGGTACCTCTTTCCTTTGAAAACGAGCAAGTATCTCCGTGATGGGGGAATGTTGTTGAGCGTCAAATAGCCCCTGCCGCCGCCCTTCTGCGGGTGATCTTTCGAAAACAAAGGAATGGACACATCAAAGTTGGGCCGAAAATTGTCCACGTCGATGCTGGCTTTGGCTAAGATAGCCTGACCTATATCAAAGCCCAGCTCCTCCGTATAATCCGGCCAAGTACCAGAGTAGAGGTTGAATATGAGGTGGTTCCTCCCCGCGTTCCATAAGGGAAGGCTTTGGATTTTTGTCTTGACGCTGTGGATGTACTGACTAGACAGTTGGTCCCTGTCAAGTGTGTCAATGCTCAGCACAAACAAGCACGCGTCGCTGGGGTCCGTGGTGTGGAAGCGGGACTCCTCGATGGCAGTCAAGATCTTCTGATAGCTCTCAGAGACCTTCTCACCCTTGGGCAGGGGGTAGACGTAGACCCTGAATCCATTTTGGCATAGGCTGAAGTCAAAGCATGTGTCCATACGACATCTCCTGTTTTGGAATATGTGTTTGTGTATCTCCCGCCTTTTGCGAGGAGATAGGTGCTGGTGGTGGTGGGGATGGAGAACATGTCCCTCCTCCTCTCCCTCCTCCTCACCTCCATCCAGGAAAGTCCTCAGAGGATGGGTGGACGGCAGCCAACGTTGCTTCAGGAAACTCTGGCTCTGTGATACTTTGTCCAGGTGGGTGAGGGGGTGGTGCTGGTGGTGCTGGATCTCCCCGATCTGCAGACCCCAGAGATAGGCGAGCAGAAAAACACAAGCCCCGAGAGACACAAGCAGGTACCTCTTCTTGGCCTGCATGTGGGCAGCAGGGCTAATGGTGACGGAAGCAGAGGCAGGAGAAGTCGATGGGCTGGGGTCCACGATCAACCCACGAGGTCGACTTTCATCCCAAGCGTAGCATACCGGCGGCGTGAGCGGCTGTACGGACAGAGCACAAGTAAAATGTTCACTTCTGAATGTTCACTTCAGACATATCAGTGCAGCTGATCTCCATCCAGTACCTTCTAGTAGGATTTAATCGACTGCATTAAGCACATTCCAGTGCATAAAATAAACACCGGGATACAACTAAACAAAAGAACATCTAATGAAAAAAATATTTTAGAACTACTTTGAGTCCTGAAAGTTTGCATAACATATGTAGAACAAAATGCAGGAAAGAAAAATGGCAGGAAAACGACACGGCAGTTTGATAATTAACTGAAAGGGAAAAAAAACTGAAACCAAAGCGCCACCTTCCTACCTGGTTTTATCAGAAACACCTGTCGCTGATTTAGCTCCTCCAGACAAACGGACAGGGGCTCTTATGCGCTTCGCTGTTGACCGACAGTATCTCATTCGTCACCCTGATTTATTATTTCTTTATTTTCCTTTTTGCAGATAATTGTTTTTGGTCCTTTAGATATAGTGTGTGCTTCAGGATATCATGTTTGAATGAACTTTTCCCGGTTATAAGCGCGGAGACGGGAGCATCTGCAGAAGTTCTACCGCGAGTCTCCTAATTCATCGCTCCGCACCGCTCCGCGCTGGCGACAGAAAGACATCGGCGTCATTTCAACACATATTTCGAGATATTTCCGGTATGTCTTGCATGTTATTCCCGTTGCCATCCACGTATTCGGCTATATGAAAGCGATATAGGACTATCAATTAGTAATTCCCATTTGAACCCCCCCTGTTCCCTAAAGCGCGCTCCATACCAGGCGTGTCACCCCACGCTGCCGCATGTCGCCTACATTCCATGAGTGGGTACAAATGACACAAAATAACTATTCAAACCCATATTAAGTTGTGTCGTTTACGAACAAGTCTTTTAGGAATTTCCTTTTAAACAAAGCATCCGAGGATTTCCATATGCGGTCATGTCACCGAAATCCAAAAAGCACGCAGTTTCAACCCGTAACTCGGGCTATTTGAAAACTCCGACTTTAAGGGCTTTTAAAACCTTCTTTTTCAAATGCCACTTTTTGTCTTTCCCCGGATTTCGTTTGTGTGTTTACGTCCATATGAAAGTCTTGAAGAAACTCTGAAAATAACGCAGCATGTATGGTGCTTTCACCAGGTTCAGGGTTAAGAGAATAAAGACACCGAACTTGCCATTCCGTCTTTCGAAAATCATAGTATATTTCTAATTAAAGCATCTTTTCCCCCTCGTTGCTGTAGTTTGTATAGTCTTCTGTAGTCCTTTCTTGAAACCCTTAACTGTATCCGCAGAGTTGTGCCTGGGATCAGGCTGCGTTTGGACAGAGTCTGCATGTGCGTGTGTTTACAGCCCAGAAGGGAAACATCATTGTGGACCAAAAAACGCCGATCTGTTGAAAGACCTCCTCCTTCACATCGCATATGCAGAAATAACTCGCCGCTGACAACTTCCCCGATGCATTTCGTGACAGGACACGTGTTTGCAAAGAGCTGCTGGGATCCCACGGCTCATGCGAGCATCTTCATATTTTAAAGTTGACGATGTCTATGTCACCTAAACCGTACTCGGCTTTGGAGTGACGACCTGTTTTTTTTACGGGTTAATCAGAGAATCTGCGGCTTAACCCGACATGCAAGCAGGTTATCGCTGTCCATCGACTTGTCTAATCATCAGATCCGCCTTGCCACGGAATGTGGCCGCATATTATACCAAGCAGAGGCTTCTGCACAGTGAGTAATCCTGGAGAGTTTGCGATCCCTTTCCAGCATCCTTCCCCCGGCTCTCATCCGCACCAAGCGGGCGAACCTCCCACCACGCCGATACCAAGTGGCAGGTTGTCGGTGGAGCGCGATCCGGCGAGTGGTACAGCCGAAGCGGCGGCCGCCTGGATGGATGCGGAGAGGGAGGCGTCAGACAGCGGCTTGTGGGTGTCGGAGGAGCGCGGCATGCAGGCGAAAGTTTACGGTGCGCAGTGACGTGGACTGTGACACCCCCGTTTGGGAAAAGCAGCAGCATTTCTGGGGAACAAGAAGCGGATGGTATCGCACAGCCTTTTAATTATAATTCGCCTTAATAACTCAGGAATAGAGAGCATACGAAATCATATTTTCACTTAATCTTTGAAGTGTATAGAGGTGATCATAATCCAATTACGTTTCTCTTCTCCTTTATTTAATACATAATCCAGAAGGAATGGTGTATTTAGCTGAATGCCTCTTCCTTAATAAGCAAGGCTGAGCAAACTGATTTCGTGAAGCGGGGAAGGATTGTGGTTGATACTTTTAAACCTTTCATCGAGTAATAGCAGTAAGCTTTAAACTATGCACGAGTAAAACATCTGGGTAATTATGGAAAGTAGCATTTTACTGTCTTACCTTGAAAAAAAAATATTACAGGTTGTGGCTAGGTGGATAAACAGATTATCATTTGGAATTGCTACTGAAAAGCTGTTGTCTTGGTATTTGAACCGCTATTACTAAATGCATGTTAAAAATACAGGAGATCCTTCCAGTGTTGTCAAATGCAGAAGCTAGTGGGACAATGGTGAAATTTAATGTAGAATTTAATATATTTCACGTTACAATTATGCAGTGAGAAATGGTGGTACAATCACAGTGACAGCACCCGGACCAACGAACCTGTTAGAGCAATTCCTGGTTCTTATAAAGAAAAATCGAATCAGGGGTGTGTGGTTTTATTTATTTATCTTTATTTTTTGGAGGATTCCCTGCCTAAATAAAATATTCTGTAACTTTTTGCTGTCCATTATGGTTTTAATCCATTACTCACATAACATTCAAATTAATATTACTTGTAGCTAAACTATTACTTTAAGGGAGCCGGCGTTCCCTTATTGATTGCCATGTCCTAAATTCATCCATATTACTACGGTGACTTGTAACGAAGGGTTTTCCTGCAGGATGTTAAATTATCCTTTCCATTTCAGGAGCACTCCGGGCAAAAGCGGGAGATAAATGTTATGCGTAATCATTTTACTGGAGATCAGGTGAATAATGTTTTCCTAGATTACTGGGGTAAAAAGACACGTGATTCATAAAAAGGATCGTTGCCCCCACTAAGATGTGCCACTGGGGACTGCCGGGGAACATCGCCATGACGATAACTACACTGCAATTATTTTCTGATAATAAGACACACCTCTGCTAATTTTGCCTTTATTTGTTATGAAATGTTATTTATCATAATTACTGCTCATAAAAATCTGTTTAAACTAAGGTGTGGTGTTTATCCAAGTAGCTACACAAGGTTTATCAAGCAATAGATGACGCCATCTTGTGGCCTGTGATGTAACAGGACATGAGTAACCAAGAATACGGGTTGAAAGCTTTTTTTCTTCTTCTCTCTCTCTCTTCAATAGTCTTTTATGCTGGGTGTTCAATTATAGCTTACGTAGCACTTTAACTCTGCAGCGCATGTTTTCCAGACATTGTCATTTTTTCTGCCACATTTGCAAGGAATCATATCTGTTTAACCTATGTGAGTTATAAACCGTGAATGGCCAGTAAAGCACTATGGCGCGATTATTTTAAATCTAATTGACTGAAACAAGTTATTATACCAGTCAATACAGATATTCTACACTCGGATAGCTCTGCATGCTGAAGTGATATAAAATGCAGTTAGACATAAAAGTGTGTTGAGACTGAAATTCGCACTCAAATGCGTATGTGATTAGAAGATGGGGCTGGAAATTCTGGGCATCTTGAGAAAATGTCACCTTGGGCCCCCGCTTAGTTTGGCACATTCAGTATGAAGAAATAGTTATATCTAATTATATAATTTGCAGGAAGGAGGGGTGCTTCTCAGCAGATTTTGCATTGGGGGGAAGGTACAGGTCCGGTCGGGTTGGGGGCATGCACTGATACAGTGCAATGCTGGGCCCACCACACAACAAAACACCTCAGGGTTCCGTTTGGGCACCCCCAAAGAACATTGGTGCAGTGAGCAGTGCTGCCCAGGTCTCAGAAAGCTCCCACACTGCGTACGGACCACTGTACTCTGCGTGGTCCTCCCCTAGGGGCTCTGCTTTGAACTCCGTCCATCTTGCACAAGACAGGATGCGATCGTTCAGAAATTTGATTTAAAAAGTGCTGCATGGAATTATTGATGGTGACGCGTCGCAGCGTAAAAGCGGCCCGGCTGCTTGGGGATACGCGACGGCGACGGCGGATTTGCGAGCTGCCCTGCAGGGATGCTGAGGTCACGGTCACTTCCCCTGCTTCTGCGGAAATCCCACTCCAACAGGGGCTGAATTCCACTTATGACACTTATGTCATCTTTTCAGTGCAAATACAAATTCGTGAGAGATTTCCCAATGGTAAGTGAAACAGTTTAGGCAAATATTGGGGCTGTTATAGGGAGCATTAAGAGCAGAATACTGGCCATAATTCTTATGGTAGAATTCGCTTTGTAGGTCCATCCATGATATTGACACTATCTTATAGATGGGATGCCTATGAGACATTGGGAAGTATCCTTATAGTATCCTGCAGCCATGACTCGAGGCTCTTTCTCTAGGCCAGGGTTATTCAAATCACGGTCCTCAAGGTCCGAGCACTGCTGGTTTTCCAGCCTTCCTTCACCTGTCAGTCAGGTGTGAAGCCTCTGACCAATCAGAATCAGTAATTATTAAACTAACAACCTGGGAGACCTGAAAACAAGGCCTGGATTTGGAATCGAGGTCCAGATTTGAAAAACCCTGCTCTAGGCCATAACTACACTGTGTGTGCAGGTTTCTTTCCTCCCTCCCAGTTTTCCTTCATTTCTTCCTGTCTTGTTTTCCTGCCCAGTTTCTTACTATTAATTTCATTGCATCAGCATTTGTGATCTTTAGTGCACAAGCTGTTTTATTTTACACTACCTCAGTTTAATATGCCGGAGCACCGGTGAACGCCAACTGCAGCAGCTAATTAATTACATTTCAAACGAAGCGGCAAGAAACTATGAGACACAATGAAGCATTTTGTTTTGTGTTTTTGGCTTAAAGATAAGTAATATAACTGCTAAAAGTCAAACAGATGCCACCTGTTTCAAACCATCTGGGCTTTTCTTATGTAGCAAATACATGCATATAATAGCATAGTGTAGTCTAGAGGCTTGCTAAACAAGGAGCAACTTGCATACAATTATGCTAACAGATTAACAATTTTTCATTAACCCTGCCATTCAGAGCCACGGCCGTGCTTAATAGTTTTTGCTGCACTGATGTAAAGTCCAGTTCCAAGGGCTTTGTTTGGCAATTTCCTAAAACTATTAGGCAATAAATAATTTTGTTTAGAAGAGATAGATCCTGAGACTCTCCTGAAGGGCTAGAGATTTTATACTCTTGCACGCGCCCTGCGTCTTGATTTATGAGTCTGGGTAGATGTGGAGAAAAATGATTTTCGGTAATATTTCACGCTATTATGCAGGACTGATTTAAAATCCTCTCTCATTGATTTCATTCCCTGCCACTCCGCTTCGTCATCAACACGGCCCCAAGCTGCCATTCTCCTTCTTCCTCCCGTCTTCTTGCTTTTCTTGCTGCTTATTTCAGTTTGTTTTGCTCGAGGTGTCGGATCCCCGCTTCTGCTGCTGTGCTTGTTAGTGACACGAGAGACGCCCATGTCAAATCTCTATTTTTATAGTAATGCAACGGCAGCAGGTTCTCATTATGTTTCTCTTCTCAAACAAATTTCATATTTTCTTCTGTTTCTTTTTCTGAGCTACAGCATGCAATGCTAAATGATCTGAAAGGAGAGCATATTATATAAAGGTGCAGATTTTTGACCCTCCTTAATACTGTGCTATCAAGTAACATTAAAAGGAAGCAATATCGCAATTAGATTTTTGAATATTTTATGCCTCTTTGTTTGCCTGGTTGCTGTTTATTTGACAGCATGTGGTAACGTGATTTAAAATAAATTGTTATTTTTTTTCGGGGGGTAGGAGCTAAGTATCTGCTCTAAAGTTTCCTTTTTTTCCAGTTTTCTGGGAGATAAGGGTGGGGTGGTGCTTCTTGTTGATCCTCCTGAAGGCGGACTTAGTTGAAGGGCTTTGGGATCGAAGAGCACAGCAAGAGTGTTTCTGGTTGATCCTTGGCATAGCTTGGCAGCACGTAGCCATGTCGCCGTGACGCATCCAGCCACAGAATCGCAGGGAGTTAAGGGCAAGGCCGGAAAATTGGTTGTTAGCGTAGTTCACTGAGATATTCCTCACTGCAGCTGAGGAAACTAGCTGCAGCACATTGTGTAGGTCGTGTGCTTCCTGGAGGGTATGGTTTGATCACTAGCCTAACCATATTTGTTTCACACTGGGATGTTCAGGGTAGCACTGCTCGGTGTGTGTGCCAGTTCATTCTCTGTCCTCACAGCTTGTCCGGTGCTGTTGGCAAAGGCCTTGAGAAGATTGGCTGCACTGCCCTGGAGTTCAGGGTCTTGGCGCCTGGCCGAGTGACCGGGGGCCGGTCGGTGCTTTCTTTGTAGTTGACCTCAGCATTGACAGCGAGCTCCATCCGCATTTAGCCCCAGGGACCTCCCGAGCGTGAAGCTGGTGGACCGGCGAGGGCTGCTCCTCTCCAGCTCCTCCGTCCCTGAGAACTGGCACCTTCACCGCGTTGCACAACACCTCTCCTGACTGACCCATATAGAGGAGAAGGAGCTCTCGGAGGTGTTCGTCAACGTTCTCTTAAACTTCATCGCTTGCTGCCCCTACCTCGACAGAAACCGCCACTCACAGTCTTCTTAATGCTAGACAGTTGAATATCCATTACGTTGCAGTAATGCCCTGTCTCCCACTACCTCTGTAACCCTGCCATTCCAAAAATAATGTATCTCTGATTTTCTAATCACCGGCCTACCTTCTATAGACTTGGAAGGAAACAGACTTAATAGCCAGTTGCCAATATATATTACTGTATGTAGAGCTTGACTGCAGCTGAGTCTCCGGAGAGAAACGAAGATGTCGATATTGGTTTATTTTTGGATGCGTTTGTAATGCCGAAATGCAAGGTCGTCAGGTATTTGCTCAGTATTCGTTATCGTACAACACTTAAGCTAACCCACCTCTCATTTCTGCTTGATACAAATTTCAGGCCATTTCTGTTGTGTTTTCCCATACAGGACTGGGTGAATGCAATATATTATAGGGTGGATTTTCTTAAACAAATATGCCATAGCTATTCAAGGTCAAAGATTACCATGCCAATACAGACACCACAGCGGGCATGTAAATAATCACCTTTTTTTTTTTTCCTTTCATAAAATTGTAAAATTGAAGTAGTAAATTAAAATGTATCTCCTATTAACATTTTTGTAAGGAGACAGCAGTATATAAGGGTATAAATGTTTAGTAGTAATTCCTAGATTTTGTCACCTATTGACAGATAAATGATAATTTCATGTGAGCCTATTTTCAAGTCAGTGATATGACCTTTGTCAGATCACTGTTCATAATACCCTGTTCATAACACCTTGTATCTATTACTGTATTTTATTATACATTCACAGATGCAAGCAATTAAATACTCACTTATTGCCTAATTGCTGTTTATAGGTTTCTATTAATTTTTCTTCAGTTTCAGTTCCCATTGAATGATATCATAAAAAGTTAGCACACACTATTCAAAATGGTTAATAAACCCTGGCAGTTCTAGGTATTAATCACA